AATCAGATGTAACAATTTCGCACAGGTGTAGCAGATGTTACACAATTTCCAGCTGGTATCTGGCCCACTTACGCTTATGACCCTATCAGGAATTATATTGCAATAGAACGAAATTGGTTTTGTGTCGATATAACGCGTGGAAATCTGAATGCAAGTATTTTTCAAGCTTTCAGAACTGTCAATAAGACCGTATCTCCAGGAAATTTTCGAGATATTTTAATAGAAACGTAAATTTGGAAAGCCTGTGAGAATGATCCAGATGGATTTAGAATTTTTGTTGTTAATATGTAACTCTTAAGTCTGTCTCTCCTTGACTCTAAGATACTGTGAGTCTGTAACTTTGCAGCACTGGGGCTCTGTGGCCCTGTGAGGCTAGTAGTTTAAGGTACACACACATATACACACACACACATACACACATACTCATTGGGCGCTGGTGGCTGAGTGGACAGCACGCTGGATACGTAGTCCTGAGGTTCGGGGTTCGATTCCCGGCGCTGGCGGAAACAGATGGACAGAGTTTCTTTCACCCTGATGCCCCTGTTACTTAGCAGTAAATAGGTACTGGAGTTAGACAGCTGTTACGGGCTGTTCCGTAAGCAGGCAAGGAAAAAGCGTAATTTGCGCTTTAAATAAAAGCGTTAGCGTAATTTGTTCTGAAAAAATTAGTTACTAATAGTTAAACACAGTTGATTGATTGACAATTGAGAGGCGGGCCAAAAGATCAGAGCTCAACCCCCGCAAGAACAACTAGGTGAATAAGTACACACATAAACACTCACACAAACACAATGCTCAATCCTGCAGACACAACTAGGTGAGTACAACTAGGTGAGTACACACACACACACACACACACACACACACACACACACACACACACACACACACACACACACACACACACACACACACACACACACACACACACACACACACACACACACACTCACACACACATACACACTCACACATACTTCAAGATATGATGGACTATGTCACCCAGAAGTGCCAGGAAGTTGCAAACAGACTTATCCCGGCCCAAAAGGAGAAAAAATAAAAGCAACTGAAGAATCCATAGTTCAGTCAGGAATGAAAGGCAGCAAAGCAATTGAGTACAAGAACATGGAGCAACTACATGAATGTAGTTCATGTGAGAACACCAGAGAGTGAGGACACCAGAGAGCAGGGAGATATACCAGAAGGCCAGGAATGAGCACATCAGATTGAGGAGAGAAGCAGAGAATCAGTGTGAAAATTACATTGCGAGTGAAGCTAAGACCCAACCAAAACTGCACCACCACCACATCAGGAGGAAACCCGCAGTGAAGGAACAAGTGATGAAACTGAGGAAAAGGGAGAACAGATACGCAGAGAAGGACAAGACAAGGAGGTGTGGGAAGAACTCGACAAGAAATTCCAGGAGGTCTTCAAAATGGAGCAAGAAGCCCCTGCACTAAATGAGGAGGAGGCAAACCAAGCAGCCTTGGAGGAATTTGAGCTCACCAGTGATGATGTCAAAAGGAATCTGTTGGAGCTGAATGTGACAAAAGCTGTTGGGCCTGACAGAATCTCACAGTGGATACTAAACGAAGGTGCAAAAGCACTAAGTGTGCCACTCTCTATGGTGTATAACAGGACACTGAAAACAGGAGATCTTCCGGAAAGCTGGAAGACAGCTAATGTAGTCCCAATATAAAACAAAGGGTGACAGGCCTGTAATTCAGCAGGCACTGAATTACAGACAGTTTCCCTAACGTGTATTTGCAAGGTGGTGGAGATGATTGCGAGGAAAAGGCTCGGAGAGCATCTGGAGGGAAAGAGCTTTGTCACACACCACCATCATGTTCAGAGATGATAAATCATGTCTCGCCATCTTAATAGAATTCTACGATCAGGTGGCAAAGGTTAAGCAAGAAAGAGAAGGATGGGTGGACTGCATTTTCTTGACCTGTTGGAAAGCCCTTGACACTGTACTACAAAAGTTGGAGCAACAGCCAGGTGTAAGATGTTAGATGCTGCAGTGGATAAGGAGTATCTAAGCAACCAGAAACAGTGAGTAACTGTGAAGGGGAAGACATCAGAGTGGCGAGATGTCACAAGTGGAGTCCCACAGGGCTCTGTACATGGACCCAACCTGTTTCTGATATATGTATACAATCTTCCAGAGGGTATAGACTCACTCGTCTCATTGTTTGATGATGATTCAAAAATGATGAGAATAATCAAGAAAGATGAAGATAGACAGAGACTACAAGACGACCTGGACAAACTGGAGGAATAGTCTAGAAAATAGTTACTAGAGTTCAACTCGGGAAAGTGTAAATTAATGAAAATTAGCCTAAGGGAGCATGAGGCTGAATACAAGGTACCATCTGGGAGGTGAAATTCTGCATGAGTCAAATGGATAGAAAGATCTGGGAATTGATATCACACCGAACCTGTCCCCAGAAACCCACATCAGAAGGATATCATCAGCGGTATATGCTAGATTGGCCATTATAAGAACTGCCTTTTAAAACTTCTGTTTAAGTGGTATTCAGGACCTTGAATACCACTTAAGTAAGACCAATCCTGGAGTATGCAGCTCCAGCTTGGAGTCCATACCAAGTTAAACACAAGACAAAGTTAGAGAAGATTCAGAGGTATGCCAGCAGACTGATCCCGGAACTGAGAGGTATGAACTAAGAGGGACGGCTACGGGAGCTAAACCTCACGTCCCTGTAAAACAGAAGAGTAAGGGGGAGACATGACAACCATCTACACAATTCTCAGGGGGAATTGACAGGATGAACAAAGACAAACTATTTAGTATAGGTGGAACACGAACAAGGGGACACAGGTGGAAACTAAGTACACAAATGAGACACAGGGACGTCAGAAATATTTTTTTCACTGGCAGAGTAGTTAACAAATGAAATGCTTTAAGCAGTGATGTGGTGGAGGCTGACTCCAAACAAAGTTTCAAAAGTAGATTTAATGGAGTCGAATAAGATCAGGAACCTGTACACCTGTTGAAATCATTTCATATAAATCATATCCGTGTAAATCATATTATTGACCGTTAAGAGGCGGGACCAAAGAGACGAAGCTCAACCCTCGCAAGCACAACTGGGTGAGTACGAGCACCGTATCGATCTCTCACTTGGACAAGCACATAATTAAACTCGAGAAGATTGAGACTTAAGATGCTCCTTGAACTCCGCCGCTCCGGGGGTTGAGAGGCCTGGAGGCTGGTGTATGCTAGCCCCATGGCCCACATAGTGGTGTATGATAGCCCCATGGCCCACATAGTGGTGTATGATAGCCCCATGGCCCACATAGTGGTGTATACTAGCCCCATGGCCCACATAGTGGTGTATGCTAGCCCCATGGCCCACATAGTGGTGTATGCTAGCCCCATGGCCCACATAGTGGTGTATGCTAGCCCCATGGCCCACATAGTGGTGTATGCTAGCCCCATGGCCCACATAGTGGTGAATGATAGCCCCATGGCCCACATAGTGGTGTATGCTAGCCCCATGGCCCACATAGTGGTGTATGCTAGCCCCATGGCACACATAGTGGTGTATGCTAGCCCCATAGCACACATAGTGGTGTATGCTAGCCCCATGGCACACATAGTGGTGTATGCTAGCCCCATGGCACACATAGTGGTGTATGCTAGCCCCATGGCACACATAGTGGTGTATGCTAGCCCCATGGCCCACATAGTGGTGTATGCTAGCCCCATGGCACACATAGTGGTGTATGCTAGCCCCATGGCCCACATAGTGGTGTATGCTAGTCCCATGGCCCACATAGTGGTGTATGCTAGCCCCAGGGCATACATAAGAGTGTATGCTAGCCCCAGGGCATACATAAAGGTGTATGCTAGCCCCAGGGAATACATAAGAGTGTATGCTAGCCCCAGGGCATACATAAGAGTGTATACTAGCCTCATGGCACACATAAGAGTGTATGCTAGCCCCAGGGCATACATAAGAGTGTACGCTAGGCCTAGGGCACACATAGTGGTGTATGCTAGCCTCATGGCACACATAAGAGTGTATGCTAGCCCCAGGGCATACATAAGAGTGTATGCTAGGCCTAGGGCACACATAGTGGTGTATGCTAGCCTCATGGCACACATAAGAGTGTATGCTAGCCCCAGGGCATACATAAGAGTGTATGATAGGATTAGGGCATACATAAGAGTGTATGCTAGGCCTAGGACACATAAGAGTGTATGCTAGCCCCAGGGCATACATAAGAGTGTATGCTAGGCCTAGGACACACATAATAGTGTATGCTAGCCCCAGGGCACACATAAGAGTGTATGCTAGCCCCAGGGCACACATAAGAGTGTATGCTAGGCCTAGGACACACATAAGAGTGTATGCTAGCCCCAGGGCATACATAAGAGTGTATGCTAGCCCCATGGCACACATAAGAGTGTATGCAAGGCCCATGGCACACATAACAGTGTATGCTAGGCCCATGGCACACATAACAGTGTATGCTAGGCCCATGGCACACATAACAGTGTATGCTAGCCCCAGGGCATACATAAGAGTGTATGCTAGCCTCATGGCACACATAAGAGTGTATGCTAGCCCCATGGCACACATAAGAGTGTATGCTAGGCCTAGGGCACACATAAGAGTGTATGCTAGCCCCAGGGCACACATAAGAGTGTATGCAAGGCCCATGGCACACATAACAGTGTATGCTAGGCCCATGGCACACATAACAGTGTATGCTAGGCCCATGGCACACATAACAGTGTATGCTAGGCCCATGGCACACATAACAGTGTATGCTAGGCCCATGGCACACATAACAGTGTATGCTAGGCCCATGGCACACATAACAGTGTATGCTAGGCCCATGGCACACATAACAGTGTATGCTAGGCCCATGGCACACATAACAGTGTATGCTAGGCCCATGGCACACATAACAGTGTATGCTAGGCCATGGCACACATAACAGTGTATGCTAGGCCCAGGGCATACATAACAGTGTATGCTAGGCCCATGGCACACATAACAGTGTATGCTAGGCCCATGGCACACATAACAGTGTATGCAAGGCCCATGGCACACATAACAGTGTATGCTAGGCCCATGGCACACATAACAGTGTATGCTAGGCCCATGGCACACATAACAGTGTATGCTAGCCCCATGGCACACATAACAGTGTATGCTAGGCAAATGGCACACATAACAGTGTATGCTAGGCCCATGGCACACATAACAGTGTATGCTAGGCCCATGGCACACATAAAAGTGTATGCTAGCCCCATGGCACACATAAGAGTGTATGCTAGCCCCAGGGCATACATAAGAGTGTATGCTAGGCCCATGGCACACATAACAGTGTATGCTAGGCCCATGGCACACATAAGAGTGTATGCTAGCCCCATGGCACACATAAGAGTGTATGCTAGCCCCAGGGCACACATAACAGTGTATGCTAGCCCCAGGGCATACATAACAGTGTATGCTAGCCCCATGGCACACATAAGAGTGTATGCTAGCCCCATGGCACACATAAGAGTGTATGCTAGCCTCATGGCACACACAAGAGTCTATGGTACCCTCATGGCACACATAAAAGTGTATGATCTTAAGTGCTCTTATAAAACATTTCCTTTCCCCCAATTAACCCCCCCCCAATCCCGGCCGTCTCAGTAATCCCCCCCCATCCCCATGTCATCCCCCCTCCCAGGGGAGGTAGTTCACGGCCCAGAGATAAGGGCCTCAGCTGCTCTCAACACCTGCCTGAAGCAAACTGATGAAGTAATTGAGCTGAGTCCTTCAGGCGTAGCCAGTAATGCCCAGTGTGGGTCCCTCACCTGGGTGTGGGCCCCTCACCTGGGTGTTGGCTCCTCACCTGGGTGGGGGCCCCTCACCTGGGTGTTGGCTCCTCACCTGGGTGTTGGTCCCTCACCTGGGTGTTGGCTCCTCACCTGGGTGGGGCCCTCACCTGGGTGTGGGCCCCTCACCTGGGTGTGGGCCCCTCACCTGGGTGTGGGCCCCTCACCTGGGTGTTGGTCCCTCACCTGGGTGTGGGCCCCTCACCTGGGTGTGGGCCCCTCACCTGGGTGTGGGCCCCTCACCTGGGTGTGGGCTCCTCACCTGGGTGTTGGCCCCTCACCTGGGTGTGGGCTCCTCACCTGGGTGTTGGTCCCTCACCTGGGTGTGGGCCCCTCACCTGGGTGTGGTCCCTCACCTGGGTGTGGGCCCCTCACCTGGGTGTGGGCCCCTCACCTGGGTGTGGGCCCCTCACCTGGGTGTGGGCTCCTCACCTGGGTGTGGGCCCCTCACCTGGGTGTGGGCTCCTCACCTGGGTGTTGGTCTCCTCACCTGGGTGTGGGCCCCTCACCTGGGTGTGGTCTCCTCACCTGGGTGTGTCCCTCACCTGGGGTGGGCCCCTCACCTGGGTGTGGGCCCCTCACCTGGGTGTGGGCCCCTCACCTGGGTGTGGGCCCCTCACCTGGGTGTGGGCCCCTCACCTGGGTGTGGGCCCCTCACCTGGGTGTGGGCCCCTCACCTGTGTGTAGGCCCCTCACCTGGGTGTGGGCCCCTCACCTGGGTGTGGGCCCCTCACTGGGTGTGGGCCCCTCACCTGGGTGTTGACCCCTCACTTGGGTGTGGGCCCCTCACCTGGGTGAGGGCCCCTCACCTGTGTGTGGGCCCCTCACCTGGGTGTGGGCCACCTCACCTGGGTGTGGGCCCCTCACCTGTGTGTGGGCCCCTCACCTGTGTGTGGGCCCCTCACCTGGGTGTGGGCCCCTCACCTGGGTGTGGGCCCCTCACCTGGGTGTGGGCCCCTCACCTGGGTGTGGGCCCCTCACCTGGGTGTGGGCTCCTCACCTGGGTGTTGGTCCCTCACCTGGGTGTGGGCCCCTCACCTGGGTGTGGGCCCCTCACCTGGGTGTTGGTCCCTCACCTGGGTGTGGGCCCCTCACCTGGGTGTTGGCTCCTCACCTGGGTGGGGGCCCCTCACCTGGGTGTTGGCTCCTCACCTGGGTGTTGGTCCCTCACCTGGGTGTTGGCTCCTCACCTGGGTGTGGGCCCCTCACCTGGGTGTGGGCCCCTCACCTGGGTGTGGGCCCCTCACCTGGGTGTTGGTCCCTCACCTGGGTGTGGGCCCCTCACCTGGGTGTGGGCCCCTCACCTGGGTGTGGGCCCCTCACCTGGGTGTGGGCCCCTCACCTGGGTGTGGGCCCCTCACCTGGGTGTGGGCTCCTCACCTGGGTGTTGGTCCTCACCTGGGTGTGGGCCCCTCACCTGGGTGTTGGTCCCTCACCTGGGTGTGGGCCCCTCACCTGGGTGTGGGCCCCTCACCTGGGTGTGGGCCCTCACCTGGGTGTGGGCTCCTCACCTGGGTGTGGGCACCTCACCTGGGTGTGGGCCCCTCACCTGGGTGTGGGCCCCCTCACCTGGGTGTGGGCCCCCTCACCTGGGTGTGGGCCCTCACCTGGGTGTGGGCCCCTCACCTGGGTGTGGGCTCCCTCACCTGGGTGTGGGCCCCTCACCTGGGTGTGGGCCCCCTCACCTGGGTGTTGGCCCCTCACCTGGGTGTGGGCACCTCACCTGGGTGTGGGCCCCTCACCTGGGTGTTGGTCCCTCACCTGGGTGTGGGCCCCCTCACCTGGGTGTGGGCCCCTCACCTGGGTGTGGGCCCCCTCACCTGGGTGTGGGCCCTCACCTGGGTGTGGGCCCCCTCACCTGGGTGTTGGCCCCTCACCTGGGTGTGGGCACCTCACCTGGGTGTGGGCCCCTCACCTGGGTGTTGGCCCCTCACCTGGGTGTGGGCCCCCTCACCTGGGTGTGGGCCCCTCACCTGGGTGTGGGCCCCTCACCTGGGTGTGGGCTCCTCACCTGGGTGTGGGCCCCTCACCTGGGTGTGGGCCCCCTCACCCAGGAGTAATACAATATTTCTTTAACACAAATCGCCTTAAAGTTATTCTAGTTTTTGTTTACAAAAAATACAGTAAAAATGTTAATTAGAATCCAATAAGGAACGACTTTATTATAATTCCATTAAACATTTTTATTAAAACTATTAAATTTTATTGCATTTAATCACTTAATTAATTAATAATAACATATTTATTCTTTGTCTTAAGGTTTATATTACATTCATTATTTAAATCCATAATAATATTATTATTAAAAATATTGATTGCAAGAGATATATGAACAAGCAGCGGGATATTATCTACTTGCAACATCAGAAAAAAGATAGTTGGAGGATGATGAGGAGAGGATAGTGAGTAAAGGATAAGATAGTGAATGGGTTATGAGGAGAGGCTAGTGAGTGGATAATGAGAAGATAATGAGTGGATAATGAGAAGATAATGAGAAGATAATGATTGGATAATGAGAAGATAATGATTAGATAATGAGAAGATAGTGAGAGGATAATATAGAAAATAGGTTGAGAGGATAGTGAGGACACGACATAAGGCATAATACAGAAGAATATGCAGCTGATGTTGTGAAAATAATACTAGTTAGCCACTAAAAACTAGAGCGATTGTCTCGCTTCATGCAGGTCGGCGCTCAATCCCCGACCGTCTAAGTGGAAGGGCACCATTCCTTCCCCCTCCCATCCCCCGTTCCATCCTAAATCCTTATCCTGATCCCTTCCAAGTGCTATATAGCCGTAATGGCTTGGCGTTTTCTCCTGATTCTCCCGCTTCCCACTAAAAACAAAAAATGTATTGTAAAAAATGTAAAAATGTAAATCTAAAAACAAATGTATTACCAATTTATACCTATAATTAGTATTATAACTACTTTACATATATATATATATATATATATATATATATATATATATATATATATATATATAAGGCACAACTCTCCTAAACACGAGAGTCAAGTATACAACTTTAGAACACTTTCCCACCAGGAGACTCGAACCCTAGCCAGCACAGAAGCCTTCCAGCAACTGGCATAACAGGTACGCCTTAACCCTCTCCACCACCTGCTCAGACCCTTAAAAGAGATGGTAATTTCGGAGTATTTAAATACCAAAAAGATCACCACCTCCCAAATTGATGAAATGACTTGATGAAATTAACGTCTAAATGACCCCTCACTTGCTCTAGTGCTCTTGGGAGGTGGTGATCTTTGTGGTATTAAATACTCCGAAATTACCATCTCTTTTAAGGGTCTGAGCAGGTGGTGGAGAGGGTTAAGGCGTACCTGTTATGCCAGTTGCTGGAAGGCTTCTGTGCTGGCTAGGGTTCGAGTCTCCTGGTGGGAAAGTGTTCTAAAGTTGTATACTTGACTCTCGTGTTTAGGAGAGTTGTGCCTTAAGCATAGACACTGTGTCTTCCCATATTAACAGGGACTTGATGAAATTAACGTCTAAATGACCCCTCACTTGCTCTAGTGCTCTTGGGAGGTGGTGATCTTTGTGGTATTTAAATACTCCGAAATTACCATCTCTTTTAAGGGTCTGAGCAGGTGGTGGAGAGGGTTAAGGCGTACCTGTTATGCCAGTTGCTGGAAGGCTTCTGTGCTGGCTAGGGTTCGAGTCTCCTGGTGGGAAAGTGTTCTAAAGTTGTATATATATATATATATATATATATATATATATATATATATATATATATATATATATATATATATATATATATACACAAATATTAACACTCCTTAATCAGTCAATTTTCCTTCATATTTGATAAAGTTAAACAACAATTGCTTCCTGTTATGAATTTCAGTTTATTTGCTTACAAACAGGTCGAAATTACTGTGTTTGCGAGTGTGTTTGTCCGGCTGATTAACCTCTTGTGGACTCGTGCTAGTTGAAGAAGAAGAGTCAGCATTTAACTGGTGTTTAATGTCTGATAAACTCTGACTGGCCTCTGAGAGCGGTATTTACTAACGGTAAATAGTGGTAGGTAAATATTACGTCTCTCTCCAGCTTGGTTAGGTAAATTGGGGTATAAAGATGTATATATAATTTAGTATCTCTGTTTCTCTGTTTCTCTTTCTCACTCTCTTCTTTTTTTATTAAAGTTAGGGTTTATTAGGGCTATCAGGTGAGGTACCTAGTGAATGTGCAAGCAAGAGAGGTTATCCTACCTCAGCTCATCTAAAGCCTGCTCGGAGAGGGATTTATTTTTTGAGATTAGTACGTGAATATAAGAAACTGTCATATAAGGAACAGGTACCTAGTGAAACTGCAAGCAAGAGCTATTAACCTACCTTAACTCATCTGAAGCCTATCCCGAGAGAAACATTAATTATATGAATTACTTTTTAATATGAACCATAAGGTATAAAATTAATTCATATCTACGTAACAATCATATAAGGAACAGGATGAGCCTGTAGCCAACTGTGTGCCAGAGTCTTCATGTGAACAGTTGACCTGATCTCCCGTGTATCACCCTGCTGAGCGAACAAGTTCCAGATGAGAGTCAGCCTCGGAGTGAATGATCGATGGAATGAAGTTCTTGATAAAGGCAGTTCCAGCATTAGATTGTGCTTGGCTTTGAGCCTTGTGAAACGGATGCCAACTTTTGGTTGTCCACTGAGTTTGACCTGGTGCGGAACTTTGAGAATGTCAGCCTTGAACATAACAGAAAGTCCACCACGGTGTTACAGGCTCTGATGTTCAGACCGTTCCCACCAGACTTGGTCAAGACTAGAGACGAGCCTTCTTGCACGGTTCTCACCTTTGCACAAAATACTGATGATCGATGGAGAGAATTGCAATATAAGAGAGGGGGTGCATACCCCTTCTGTGTGAGATACACAGGAGGCCTATAACTTTCCTGGCTGCTGTGTAGGTTGGGTTAATCAGTGACTCTTGATTGTCTCTGAAGAGTCAAACTTCATTCTCAATATGTTAGTTGAATTCCAGGTTTTTGCCACCGATTTGGTATCATGTCTTAGTTTCACTATGCAGTCTAGTTATCATCATCGCCGTTGTTTTCTCAGCTGCAAACATGACCTGCCAGCACCGTCCCCAGGAGATGACGAAGAGTTTGTGGTTAATGACCCTTGTAGCCGTTGGTATTTGTTCTTAGCCATATGTAAAGGTTAGAGTATAGTCATCAGCATAGCTCTGAGCTTCAGAAATGAAGTGCAGCAAATCGCTGAAATCAAAGTTCCACAGCGAAGGGCCAAGCACACTACCCTGTGGTACGCTGGACCAAATGATTGGCTTTCTGATTCTGCTTTATTGATAACTACTCTTTGAGTCTATTCATGAAGGTAGTCCTTTATTCGCTCTAAAAGGGAGCCTGAGAACCCTATTACTTGAAAGTTTGTTACTTGTCCAGAGTGCCAGACCCGACGAAGACTCCTGCTGTGTCTACAGCAACAATACAGCAGATCTTGGACTCAACCAGTGACTGATGCCGCATAGAGGAGAGACTAAGTAAGAGATCAGCAGCAGATCTAACTAACTAACAGCAGCAGATGATGGTAAAAAGTGAATTTATTTGTTGAGAGATTAATGTCTTAAGAATTTTACCAGAGAAAGAAAGCAGTAATACATGCGTTCAGTTACTGGTAAACAGAAGCAGGTATCACTGCTTTCAGTGACACCTTTCAGTGAATACTTTACGTTTACGGGTCTGAAATTATCGACAACTGAACGACTTTATTTTGTGTTTCTGGAACAACATCTGCCTTGTTCCATGGGGCAGAGTGTGAGGGTGGAGTGTGAGGGTGGAGTGTGAGGGTGGAGTGTGAGGGGTGGAGTGTGAGGGTGGAGTGTGAGGGTGGAGTGTGAGGGTGAAGTGTGAGGGGTGGAGTGTGAGGGTGGAGTGTGAGGGTGGAGTGTGAGGGGAGGAGTGTGAGGGTGGAGTGTGAGGGTGGAGTGTGAGGGTGAAGTGTGAGGGGTGGAGTGTGAGGGTGGAGTGTGAGGGGTGAAGTGTGAGGGTGGAGTTTGAGAGGTGGAGTGTGAGGGTGGAGTGTGAGGGTGGAGTGTGAGGGTGGAGTGTGAGGGGTGGAGTGTGAGGGTGGAGTGTGAGGGGTGGAGTGTGAGGGTGGAGTGTGAGGGTGGAGTGTGAGGGTGGAGTGTGAGGGGTGGAGTGTGAGGGTGGAGTGTGAGGGGTGGAGTGTGAGGGTGGAGTGTGAGGGTGGAGTGTGAGGGTGGAGTGTGAAGGGTGGAGTGTGAAGGGTGGAGTGTGAGGGTGGAGTGTGAGGGTGGAGTGTGAGGGGTGGAGTGTGAGGGGTGGAGTGTGAGGGTGGAGTGTGAGGGTGGAGTGTGAGGGTGGAGTGTGAGGGTGGAGTGTGAGGGTGGAGTGTGAGGGTGGAGTGTGAGGGGTGGAGTGTGAGGGTGGAGTGTGAGGGTGGAGTGTGAGGGTGGAGTGTGAGGGTGGAGTGTGAGGGTGGAGTGTGAGGGTGGAGTGTGAGGGTGGAGTGTGAGGGTGGAGTGTGAGGGTGGAGTGTGAGGGTGGAGTGTGAGGGGTGGAGTGTGAGGGTGGAGTGTGAGGGTGTGAGTGTGGAGTTGAGGGTGGAGTGTGAGGGTGGAGTGTGAGGGTGGAGTGTGAGGGTGGAGTGTGAGGGTGGAGTGTGCAGGGTGGTGTGTGTGGGTGGAGTGTGAGGGGTGGTGTGTGAGGGTGGAGTGTGAGGGTGGAGTGTGAGGGGTGGAGTGTGAGGGTGGAGTGTGAGGGTGGAGTGTGAGGGGTGGAGTGTGAGGGTGGAGTGTGAGGGGTGGAGTGTGAGGGTGGAGTGTGAGGGTGGAGTGTGAGGGGTGGAGTGTGAGGGTGGAGTGTGAGGGTGGAGTGTGAGGGTGGAGTGTGAGGGTGGAGTGTGAGGGGTGGAGTGTGAGGGTGAAGTGTGAGGGGTGGAGTGTGAGGGGTGGAGTGTGAGGGGTGGAGTGTGAGGGGTGGAGTGTGAGGGGTGGAGTGTGAGGGTGGAGTGTGAGGGTGGAGTGTGAGGGTGGAGTGTGAGTGTGAGTGTGGGGTGGAGTGTGAGGGTGGAGTGTGAGGGTGGAGTGTGAGGGTGGAGTGTGAGGGTGGAGTGTGATAGGTGGAGTGTGAGAGGTGGAGTGTGAGAGGTGGAGTGTGATAGGTGGAGTGTGATAGGTGGAGTGTGAGAGGGTGGAGTGTGAGGGTGGAGTGTGAGGGGTGGAGTGTGAGGGTGGAGTGTGAGGGTGGAGTGTGAGGGTGAAGTGTGAGGGGTGGAGTGTGAGGGTGGAGTGTGAGGGTGAAGTGTGAGGGTGGAGTGTGAGGGTGGAGTGTGAGGGGTGGAGTGTGAGGGTGGAGTGTGAGGGGTGGAGTGTGAGGGTGGAGTGTGAGGGTGGAGTGTGAGGGTGGAGTGTGAGGGTGGAGTGTGAGGGTGGAGTGTGAGGGGTGGAGTGTGAGGGTGGAGTGTGAGGGTGGAGTGTGAGGGTGGAGTGTGAGGGTGGAGTGTGAGGGTGGAGTGTGAGGGTGGAGTGTGAGGGTGGAGTGTGAGGGTGGAGTGTGAGGGTGGAGTGTGAGGGGTGGAGTGTGAGGGTGGAGTGTGAGGGGTGGAGTGTGAGGGTGGGTGGAGGGGTGTGAGGGGTGGAGTGTGAGGGGTGGAGTGTGAGGGTGGAGTGTGAGGGTGGAGTGTGAGGGTGGGGTGAGGGTGGAGTGTGAGGGTGGAGTGTGAGGGTGGAGTGTGAGGGGTTGAGTTTGAGTGTGAGTGTGAGGAGTGTGAGGGTGGAGTGTGAGGGGTGGAGTGTGAGGGGTGGAGTGTGAGGGTGGAGTGTGAGGGTGGAGAGAGAGGGGTGGAGTGTGAGGATGGAGTGTGAGGGGTGGAGTGTGAGGGGTGGAGTGTGAGGGTGGAGTGTGAGGGGTGGAGTTTGAGAGGTGGAGTGTGAGGGTGGAGTGTGAGGGGTGGAGTGTTAGGATGAAGTGTGAGGGGTGGAGTGTGAGAGTGGAGTGTGAGGGTGGAGTTTGAGGGGTGGAGTGTGAGGGGTGGAGTTTGAGAGGTGGAGTGTGAGGGTTGAGTGTGAGGATTGGAGAGTGAGGGGTGGAGTGTGAGGGTGGAGTGTGAGGGGGTGGAGTGTGAGGGGTGGAGTGTGAGGGTGGAGTGTGAGGAGTGGGGGTGGAGTGTGAGGGTGGAGTGTGAGGGTGGAGTGTGAGGGTGGAGTGTGAGGGAGTGTGTGAGGGTGGAGTGTGAGGGTGGAGTGTGAGGGTGTGAGGGTAGAGTGTGAGGGTGGAGTGTGAGGGTGGAGTGTGAGGGTGGAGTGTGAGGGTGGAGTGTGAGGGTGGAGTGTGAGGGTGGAGTGTGAGGGTGAAGTGTGGGGATAGAGTGTGAGGGTGGAGTGTGAGGGTGGAGTGTGAGGGTGGAGTGTGAAGGGTGGAGTGTGATAATGGAGTGTGAGGGTGGAGTGTGAGGGGTGGAGTGTGAGGGTGGAGTGTGAGGGTGGAGTGTGAGGATTGGGTGTGAAGGGTGGAGTGTGAGGGTGCAGTGTTAGGGTGGAGTGTGAGGGTGGAGTGTGAGGGTGGAGTGAGAGGGTGGAGTGTGAGGGTGGAGTGTGAGGGTGGAGTGTGAGGGTGAAGTGTGAGGGTGGAGTGTGAGGGTGGAGTGTGAGGGTGGTGTGTGAGGGTGGAGTGTGAGGGTGGAGTGTGAGGGTGGAGTGTGAGGGTGAAGTGTGAGGGGTGGAGTGTGAGGGTGGAGTGTGAGGGTGGAGTGTGAGGGTGGAGTGTGAGGGTGGAGTGTGAGGGGTGGAGTGTGAGGGTGGAGTGTGAGGGTGGAGTGTGAGGGTGAAGTGTGAGGGGTGGAGTGTGAGGGTGGAGTGTGAGGGTGGAGTGTGAGGGTGGAGTGTGAGGGTGAAGTGTGAGGGTGAAGTGTGAGGGGTGGAGTGTGAGGGTGGAGTGTGAGGGTGGAGTGTGAGGGTGAAGTGTGAGGGGTGGAGTGTGAGGGTGGAGTGTGAGGGTGGAGTGTGAGGGGTGGAGTGTGAGGGTGGAGTGTGAGGGTGGAGTGTGAGGGTGAAGTGTGAGGGGTGGAGTGTGAGGGTGGAGTGTGAGGGTGAAGTGTGAGGGTGGAGTTTGAGAGGTGGAGTGTGAGGGTGGAGTGTGAGGGGTGGAGTGTGAGGGTGGAGTGTGAGGGTGGAGTGTGAGGGGTGGAGTGTGAGGGTGGAGTGTGAGGGTGGAGTGTGAGGGTGGAGTGTGAGGGGTGGAGTGTGAGGGTGGAATGTGAGGATGGAGTGTGAGGGGTGAAGTGTGAGGGTGGAATGTGAGAGTGGAATGTGAGGGTGAAGTGTGAGTGTGGAGTGTGAGGGTGGAGTGTGAAGGGTGGAGTGTGTGGGTGGAGTGTGAGGGTGGAGTGTGAGTGTGGAGTGTGAGGGTGGAGTGTGAGGGTGGAGTGTGAGGGTGGAGTGTGAGGGGTGGGGTGTGAGGGTGGCGTGTGAGGGTGGAGTGTGAGGGTGGAGTGTGAGGGGTGGAGTGTGAGGGTGGAGTGTGAGGGTGGAGTGTGAGGGTGGAGTGTGAGGGTGAAGTGTGAGGGGTAGAGTGTGAGGGTGGAGTGTGAGGGTGGAGTGTGAGGGTGGAGTGTGAGGGTGGAGTGTGAGGGTGGAGTGTGAAGGGTGGAGTGTGTGGGTGGAGTGTGAGGGTGGAGTGTGAGTGTGGAGTGTGAGGGTGGAGTGTGAGGGTGGAGTGTGAAGGGTGGAGTGTGAGGGTGGAGTGTGAGGGTGGAGTGTGAAGGGTGGAGTGTGTGGGTGGAGTGTGAGGGTGGAGTGTGAGGGTGGAGTGTGAGGGTGAAGTGTGAGGGGTAGAGTGTGAGGGTGGAGTGTGAGGGGTGGAATGTGAGGGTGGAGTGTGAGGGTGGAGTGTGAGGGTGGAGTGTGAGGGGTAGAGTGTGAGGGTGGAGTGTGAGGGTGGAGTGTGAAGGGTGGAGTGTGTGGGTGGAGTGTGAGGGTGGAGTGTGAGGGGTGGAGTGTGAGGGTGGAGTGTGAGGGTGGAGTGTGAGGGTGGAGTGTGAGGGGTGGAGTGTGAGGGTGGAGTGTGAGGGTGGAGTGTGAGGGTGGAGTGTGAGGGGTGGAGTGTGAGGGTGGAGTGTGAGGGTGGAGTGTGAGGGTGGAGTGTGAGGGTGGAGTGTGAGGGTGGAATGTGAGGATGGAGTGTGAGAAGTGAAGTGTGAGGGTGGAATATGAGGGTGGAATGTGAGGGTGGAGTGTGAGGGTGGAGTGTGAGGGTGGAGTGTGAGGGTGGAGTGTGAGGGTGGAGTGTGAAGGGTGGAGTGTGAGGGTGGAGTGTGAGGGTGGAGTGTGTGAGTGGAGTGTGAGGGTGGCGTGTGAGGGTAGAGTGTGAGGGTGGAGTGTGAGGGTGGAGTGTGAGGGGTGGAGTGTGAGGGTGGCGTGTGAGGGTGAAGTGTGAGGGGTGGAGTGTGAGGGTGGAGTGTGAGGGTGGAGTGTGAGGGGTGGAGTGTGAGGGTGGAGT